CATGGCTGCAAGTACATTAGTGAGGACTGCAACGATGAGATGGAAGTTACGGTAAAGTGACAAAGACAGAAATATCGTTGCGTACAGCGTTGCCACTAGTTGTAATAAATATCTAACACTATACAGAAAATAATGAATTTTAACTGATCAGTAATCAGGAAATGTATAAGTATTACTCATTACAAGCTCATTACTGATTTTTGTCATAAATAATACCTTTTAATCGTACTAGTATTGTGTATTATCTATAATTTGCCACAACCTACAACTCTACTGCTTACTATATTTTGGTTCTGCTATAAACTGGTAACGTAAAATTTAGATATGACAACGCGCTTTACTCTCAATCATTATTGGTTTTACTATAAATATAAATTCACCCACTGGAAATGTAAGGGCATGAAGAAACAGTGATGAAAAGATGATTTTGTTTTATGAACGCGCCTTTTTTCCTCGCGGCTGGCGTCCCAGGCCACCAAACGCGGAAACGCGGACTGCGATTCCAAAAATTGCATTTATCGGATACCCTGCAAGTGCGGAAAATGCTATATCGGTGAAATTAAGAGGTCATTGAAAGTCCGCATTGCCGAACACGAGCGCGAATAAACCAGCAAATCAGAAATAGCAGAGCATGTTTGGACCAATCAACACAACATCACGTGGTCCCAAGCTGAGATAATCCACAGAAAGGAGCACTAGTTCAAGAGAAAGTTCAAAGAATTATCCAACGACACATTCAGCTGAGCTAGCGTAGAGATACACAACATATGGAAACCTGTAATCAAGCGGAACACCGGTTATCTCCCGCTAAACCGGTGAAGGGGAGAGTTTTTCTGGGGGTTTGTCAATACAATGTTTTTTCTTATTATATGTTACTACATGTCGATTTGTTAATAGTTAGTTGTACAGTGTATGCACCTCTTCGAAGTGTATTTAATTATTATTCTGACTCTCAACCCGGAGAGTCTACATGTCGATTTGTTAGTAGTTAGTTTTATAGTGTATGCACCTCTTCGGAGTGTATTTATTTATTATTCTGACTCTCACCCCGGAGTTATTGTAGTTGCTTCCGGACTATTCTACTGCAGGCAGAGCTTATGACTAGTTGGGATTAATTTTGTTTGTTCGGGATATTCAGTCGGTTCTATGGGGACTGCTGACGCTTGGAAGTAGGCAGATTAAGACTCTTGCAGATGACGAGACCTGGGGAGTAGGCAGGTTGATATCTCAGTGTAGTCATAGCTTCATGAAATTGGCTTCAAATCCCAAGTGAACTCAACAAAGCCATGACAAACTTCAGTTTCAATGGATTCAAAGCAGAAACCGAAACGTCAAACTTCAAACTACAGTTTGAAGATACCCTACCCCGCCTAGTTTCAAAACTGAGTAGTTCAAACATTTTTTCAGTTACAATTTTCTCAGTTGTAATAAATGTGTGGTAATGAAACTGTATTTCGAAATGAGTTTAAAAGATTCCTGTTAAAAAAAAACAACTCCAATAAACTCATCCATTATTTTCATGTTAATCCATTTTGTAATGTATGATGTAATCAATAGGTATTGAATAAATAAAATATTCAAAAAGTATGTGAAATTTTCCAATAATAATTTCAAAATTATTTCTTAATAAATGTGTATGAATCATGCATAGAAATTTCTTTTATACTTAAATTGTATAAAGATGGAAAAGTAAAAATTCAAAAGTTTCTTTCCCAAAAATTAGTCTCTCCTAAAAATAT